GGACAGTATTAAAAGGATTTAATACTGTCCCCCGCCCTCCTCTCTTCGCTCGTGCCTCGGATCTGTATCCCGGGCCCCTTTTGCATGCCACCGGTAGCTTTCCCATTCTTGTCCGCCCGCTGCTCTGTCTCCGCGGTTTGCTGCGGCGAGGCAGCCGCCTTAGTACTCCGGCTTTCGGCTCATCAACGCCACTGGAAACCTGCAGGAAGACACTGGCTCGTATCGAAATCGCCTTTGGGGGAAGAAGAAAGGGGGGGGGTATTCAGTGGCTGCAGGCCGGCTGGCCCCCCTGGTTCTAACCACACCGTTTTATCCCAACTTGGAAGGGAGCCGTCGGGATTGGGCCGATGGACGTGCCAAGCACATCGGGTGCGGCGCAGTTCTTGAAGCCAGCGCGCGCACCGCGTACGGGCACCCCGGACGCCCCCTCCCCAACACCCACCAGCCCCCACATCTTAGCCAATAAGCAAGAGAGTTGTAGTTCAGCAGCACCTGGAGGGCGCCAGGTTGGCTCCCCCTGGCGCACGCGTGCACGCAATCCTAACCCCCCAAGAACAGCTCCATTGCATGAGCGAGCCGCGGCCGCCTTTCGCAGCAATATACCGCCGCGGGGCCCCCCCCTTGCTTCAAGAGCCCTTCCATCCCGTTTGCTTGCCTGAGATGTTTCCCCGACGAGCGGTACGCTTAGCGCGTGCTGCCCGCCTCTCTGCTGACCCGAGGACACGAGTCGTGGGAACGGGCAGCAACGTTCGCCTGCCAGGGTGGCAGATAAGACGGCGCGGGGAGCCGGGGAGCAGCAGGGCGAATCTCCCCACCTCCCCCCCCCGCCGTACCCCCACTTCCTTCCCTAAAAGAAATCTGCCAGCTCTGCTACAGCGAACTCCTTCCACCCCCGATCTTGCCCCGTGGTTTCCACAGTGCGGGGTTCGCCCTGCCCCCAGTACAAATATATACCGTATATTTATATATTTTAAAACCCTTCTTTCTCCCCTCCATTAACACTTCGTTGAACAGCTTAAGGGATGAAGGGCTGGCAGTTGCCTACAGAAGGTTTCAGTTCGCTTTCCGTCGGAGGGAGCGCGCGGGGTCGGTGGGGGGGTCGCCCAGCTCCCCAACTTTGCTTCCAAGGGCAAAAGGCGCCGCAAGGATTGGGCCTCCGGGCCGCGCAAAAGGGAAGACCCGGGAAAGTCAGTAAACACAAGGCGGGGGGAGCTGGGGTCTCCTGTCTTTTGTCTTCGTTTGCTGGTCTGTCAGCGACTCCCCCCACCCTCCCACTTTGGCTCGGGCTTGGCGAGGTTTGCAGCCAGAACAAGGCAGAAAAACGCCGCGGCCAGGCCCGCTCCTGAACTTCTCACCTTGAAAAACAGCACCAAAACAAAACACGCGAAAGAGTACCATTTGGTGACAATCGCCTCCGTTTCTTTTAACCCTCTTTTACAAGGGCCTTTAATTGTATTTTATAAGGATGAGGAGACCACACAAACATACATACATATATACACACACACACTACACATTCCAAACTAACAGGAGCCTAACAATCAGAACCAGGGGCGGAAAAATTTAGCGTTTGGGAGGCGGCGGCGGGGAATTATTTATACCTTTGACATTTAAAAGAGCATAATTAATTTGTCCTGTTTGCCTTAACATTGTTGGGGAAGGCTTCCTAGACAGCAAAAAAAAAGATTGGGGGGGTTAGAAAAAGGCACAGAGAGCTCGGAGGCCGGCGCTGGTCTCCCCCCCCCACCCCTTTCAGATCTGTAATCAATCATTGGAGGCAGGGATATTGTAAAGATTCGATAGATTAAAATGCAAATGAAAGGTAGAATAAGAAACATTAACATGGCAATCAAAGATTTAATAATCGTAAATCAGGGAGGGCTTTTTTGTTGGCGTTGCAGCTGCACTTTATTTATTTATTTTAACTTTAATTATGTTCGTTCTATAAATAAATAATTTCTGAACCGAGACTTTAAAAAAAAATCAGGATTTTTAACCATGAACTCCAGTACTCAATCTCCTTCCTTTAAAAACCGTTCAAAGGTTTTGTTTGTTTCATTAATGGGGAAGAAGAGAGAATAAATCTTCTAAGATGGTATTCAACATTCCCAACCTAAAATCCTGATCCAAATAAAAATTGTCGTTTCAAAATTCAAGATATTTATTTGCCTACATCGTTGTAGCACTGGTCAAAAGTGGGTGGAGAGAGGGGCGGAACAAGAAATATATTTTAAAAGATGCAAGAGGAAGGAGATCCTCACAATAATGACTTTAACATCCAGATTGTTTTATTAGCCGATATTGCCATTTTAAAACCGAGAAGAAACGCTCAATTATAAAGCTGTGGTACTACTCAGTGATCTATCTAAGCAAGAGGGAAACCTGCTAGCCAGTAATTTCTCCTCCATAACTTTTTCGGACCTCCTTTCTCCAAAATGAAACAGCAACAATATTAACCAGGAAATGTTTTCTGCTGGCAATTTCGCAGTGTAGAAAGGTCTCAGATCGGTGGCTTTAGCCCCCACCCCACACGCGCCGCGTGTTTTCCTGGTGCTGTCGTCTTACATGCAGATTCCGGGTACATTTACCTGAAGTCTGGCCCCATCAGTCGAGCGCTCCTCCTTTTTCATTTAAAGGGCGTTTAAGTTCGGGTGGTGGCAGTTCAATTGACTTTCAGTGGGAACAGACAGTATAAATACACCCCAGGAGACTGAAAATACCCTCTGAGTTGGATTCTAGAGAGGGGCTTTTTCATGCCTCACACCCCGATTTAAATACAGTCACAAGCAGTCCTTTTCGCAGAATTGAGTGCCATGAAATTGCGCTCAGATTTCATAACATTTACTCGGGACTTCAATCCCGCAAAAGTTAACTGGATTTGTTGCTCAGAAAATAGGTGTGCAGCGATTGTTACGCAGTACTCGAGGATGAGTACCGAAACCCGTCTAACGTCGTGGGTTCTATTCCGTATTGCGTTTATTTTAAAAGTCCTGCTTCGCGCCTTTGGGTCATCTCCTACAGGGACGGGACTTGGAGATTTATTTTTTTAAGTGGAGTAAACAAGGGAGGAGCAAAGTGGAAATCCTTTGCCTAAATTTGACATTTCCAGCAGCAGCACCTTCTTCTTATTTTCGCCTTGAAAGATGGGGTGAGAGATGTCTGGTTAACAATTCCCACTTATCCAAATTATGTATATATAGAAATATATTAAAGGGAACATGACGAATTTCGAAAATTGCTGCCTTGAACAAGGCATAATCCTCTGGATGAAATATCCAAGCGGTTATTTTATCCAGAGGATTAATATGCCACATTTCCCCCTAGTCCGTGGCTAAACAAATAATCTTCGCAGTGTCTAGATATTTTGGTAACAATACAGCAGGAGGGTCGGAGAATCGCACAATGACCATTTTACACACTTTACGCGGGGCTGCTGCAATCCAGAGCATTTTGTTTTTCCTTTTCTTATTTTTAGCTTCAATTGAAATCAGTGGGACATACCACCTAATAGGCGAACTTACTCGAATCCGAGTACAAGACACACAGAGAGAGAGAGACACGCCGCCCTTTGCCTCTTCTCCCCTCCTCTCCTGTGCAACGCGCTGCCTCGATTTCCCCCGTGGCTCGTGTCAGCTCCACGCCACGCCACGGTGCCACCCTGTTCCCGAGTCAGGGACAAGGTGTGGACTAATTTCATTTTCTTGACTGGTCAGGTAACCAACCCGTTGGCTGCCAGCTACCTAGGCGACGCGATCCTAAGGGAGAATCTGGAGGCGATCACGCTAAATCTGCAGCGCGCATTAACGACACGGAGGGCGCGGGTGGGAGGAAAGCGGGGCTTTAAAGGGAGGCTTTAAAGTGCTGCGGGCTGCTAAGTGCTTCCAGATATAGCCTTTGTCAATTTCCCTGTAGAGCTCCACTCATCAAAGGAGAGGGTAGTTGCGGGGAGGAAGCGCGGGTACTTATTCTCAACTTTCCCTGCGCCCACTTTGGGCAGCGCGCATCACGAGCCTCTCGCCCTTCTTCCCCCATCAAGGACTTGCTCCTTGTCTCGTTGAAGGCAGGTCCTTGATTTTGCATTTCACCAAAAGGTTACGCAAACCTCTTAACAAGAAAGGAGAAGGAAATCGTGGCGGTGAGGTCCCTGCAGAATCAGGTAGCGCGCGCCAGATCGCCGCCCCTGTGCAGCGCTAAAGTTCTCTCTGTGTGTTGTGTTGTGTTGTGTTGTGTGTGCGCGCGCGTATCTCCTGACCCCACAATGCACAGCTCGGTTTCATTGATCATCTCACTCCCCCCCCCCATCTCACCCCTCCCCTTTATGAGATAATGCAATTACAAACATCAATAAGAAGCTGCAAGGGGAATCATTATGCGGTGACAGTGATAAATGACGCTGCAGAAATAGCAGGCTTTTTTTTTTCTAACAGTCCGGGAGCCCAGGGGCTTTGGGGGCCTGAACACAGTCACCAAGGAAACAGATGACATCCAAAATGGCACCAAAGGAAAAAAGAAAACAAAAAAGAGCAGCCCTTTCTTTTGCCTTTCACTCTCCTTCTCCCGCTCCAGACCCCCCACCCCCACCCCCAATGGATCCAAAGAGTTAGTTTTGGCTTTAGAAACAGCTGCCACACAAGCATTTAGTTATTTCACACATTAAAGCCCTGGAAGATTTCCTCTGTCCACTACATAAAATACAAAGCTGCTGAGACTGCTTAGGAGTTTATTAACTACCTTCTAGCGAGAAGCTGAACAAAAGCAGATCTTGCGTTATCACGATTCTAGGACAAATGGCCCGATTTGGCAAAGTGGGGGGGTCAATCTCCGCCCCTTATAAGACACACACAGACACACTTTTTACAGAAGGTCTTAGTGTACTTTGCGTCTTCTAACGGTCTAGGAAGGGCGGCCCTTTTGCGATTCCAAACCTTGAGTCGGGGAGTCCTTTTTACACCTCCAGTAAACACAGCAAAGTCACACAAAGAGGATAGACACACAAAGACTAACGGAATGGTAGCTTTAGAATACAAGATCAAGTGCACACTCTTCACATCCACAACCTATTCCTTGGGGCGGAGGGGATATCAAACACACTTGGAGATTTTCGCTAGGATCCCCGGGTGGACATTCTTACAAGTCACGGGTTTAGGATCAACGCCTAAGGCAACCCAGAAGAACAACAGCCTGCGAAAAACTTTCTAAATTTCTCGGTCTTGATGCCCGCCTAAACATCTACCTAAACTCTCTGGAATAACTGCTTATATTGTTGACTAGTTGTGGTGGGTGCGCTTCGCATGAAAACCGATTGGCAGTGCAATGCGATAGGTCGACTCGGGAGTAAATCCTTTTGCGCTCAGTGGCGCTTACTCCTAGGTGAGTTGCAGCCTTCTTCAGCACAATCATTCAGCAGCTGAAAAGGTTCCCTTGAAAACCTGCCCCTTCAGGGTCGGTGAGTCTGAACGCTCATGTACGTGCGTGGAAGATGGTGTCTTTGTCAGCCTAAAATTGCTTTTCACTGCTAGCCACACTTGGGCACAATTCCAAAATTCATTCACAAGTTGCGGAGCAAGCCTTGCTTGGAATGACCCCTCCCGCGCCAGTCTTTGCACACAGGAGGAGCGACAGATTCACTTGTAAGGCATAGTTTACCTTTTTTTATTTTTTAAATGGGGGAGCATCCTCCCACATCTTCCCAAACACACAACCCCCACGACTTTTTAAGGTGCCGCTTTTAACTCAAGCGTCCGCCACCGTTTGCGAAGCACCTTGGAGACAGCAGCCGGCCAAAGGCAAGCCTTGGGAGGTTTGTGACCGGCAGCGGCGAGGAGAAGCCACTGGCTGAGCTTCGCTATTCCGGGTCCCTTTAGTGACTTCTCGGACTTTCGGGTGCCTTTCGCTCGGCTGGAAAGGCTCCACACGCACCCCCTTACACGGGGATTCCTTCCCACACACACACACGTTGGATGGATTTCGGTAAGTAGGAGAGGATATATGGAACTGATATTATCCCCCCGATCTCACGTGAGGAAGGTTCAGAGCTTGAGGAAGAATAACCTTTGTTGGTTACATACACACACACAGGCTGCACGCCTTGCAGGAAGGAGGGGATGAGAAGGTAAGGAGATGGCTCTCTTCTTTACACTCTCGCACACACTTTGAAGGATCCGACTGTGGTTTTTGACCCTGGAGAACGAGAGGGGGGCGGGGGAGAGAGACTCCCCCTCCAAGCACAGAAATGTCCCCAGGTTCCCTCTTCTGGGCTGCATGATGCTGGTCCCACCCAGCGCAGAGGAACCCGCAGAAAAGGGCTTTGGTCCGAGGAGAGAGAGGCCGGCAGGGCCTGGCCGGCAGGGCGGCACTGAGCGGTGGGCATGAGAGGCCGAAGGAGACCATCGAGAGCAGACTGGCTTGAACAAGAAAAGAAACAAAGCGGTTATCTTCCGAGTCTAAGGAGGCTGGGAAGTTGAGTGGGTGAGGGGATAACAGCTAATCCCGGCTTGTGATGCCGGATTTTAGGCGGCGGGGACAGACTCACACGTGGTGCTTCTTTTGCCAGCTGACACGTGTTCCGGGACGAAATCCCACCCCCGCCCCCACGACCAGAAAGAAGCGGAGCAAATCGCCCTTTTCTTGCCTGCTCCTCCTGTTTTTCCCTTCGCGGGTCGAGATTGTCTGCAAACAAAGCTGGGCCAGGAAAAGTTTTGCAGGACTTTAAAAAGGAGGGGGGCGGAGAAAAGGGGGGGGAGACCTCCGTCCAGCAACACACAAACACCAGCATCCTCTCCCCCCCTCCCAGGAAAATAATAGCAACAACAACAAAAATCCCCTCTCCCAAATCCGTGTCGTATCGATCCAACTGCTTTGCCTTTCCGTTTTTTTTTCCTTTTTGGAATAAACCTGCCCTATACTATCCAACGCCACTTCATGGCTAGGGAAAAGGCAGGGGAGGAGCGGGGTCGCGCTGGGGAGAAAAGGAGGTCTCTCAGTTCACAACAGCCAAAGGGGGACCGGAGGGGCCATTTGTTGACTTGGGAGGAGGACGGAGACGCTTCCGATTCTGCGGCTGACAAACGCAGGAAGAGGCGAAGCCCTTTGCCCGGCTGGGCTAGTGGTTCCTCCCGCCCCGCTCCGGGGTGCTGCCTCTAGAGGGGGCCTTTGGCCCCACCCTCGCCCACCCCACCGGACTCCGCTCTGCAGGCTCCTGGGAGAAGCCGGGAGTTCAAATGCAGACAACAAGATCTCCATGATTCAGCTTCTCCAAACACACAGGCGCACACGCGTGCGCACACACACACACACCTTGCCCAGGAAAAGTGACAAGGGCAGCAGCAGACTTGGGGTGGATCCGGCGGCGGCACTGATAAAAAGAAGGACAAGGTGTATTGAATAAAAACAAAAATAAAACAAAATTATTGTTTTAATCGCAGCGACCCTAATCTTGGAACAATTGTACTATCCACGCAAGAACTCTACGGAGCACCTTGGTTGGGGGTTTAAAGGCGGGGGGAGAAGAGGAGGAGGGGGGATCATGTCCAAACACGACGGTAAAAGTTCTCCGCTACCAGCTGCCCGCACCCCGCCGACCAAGCGGGATTTCTCGCAATTTCTCGAGTGACACTCGACTCGGTGCAATACGGTACCCTGGCCGCGCACAAAACAGGCACAGAGGAAGCCCCAGCGCGCATGCGGCAGCGTCGGACAATCTTTGCAGGGGCGGGGGGGGGGGAGCTGACAAAAAAGCAAGACCGGCGGGGACGCCGGAAAACTTTTGCGCGGAACTTGGGGGAGGAAAAGGCGGCGGGATCAGGGGGCTCCCCCTCCAGCCCAGCCCCGCGACCAGCTCCCTCTCTGTGCAAATGCCAAGGCGCAGAGCTGCCCGAGCGGGTCCCCTTCTGCGCTCCAAAGTCTTTTCCCTAGGAAGCACAAGTGGGAGCCCAGATTTGGACTCGGGGGGCTCGGGAAGAAGAAGCACGAGGACGGGAGGGAAGGAAAGCGAGGAGGAGGAGGAGGAGGAGGAGGAGGAAGAGGGCGGGCTCCTACCTATCGGGTCGTTTTTCCATATCCCCAAAAGATGGCAGTCGAAGCTGACATTCCTTCTCCTTGGGCTCTGCAGCGGGTGGCAGCGAGAGGGGGAAAGAGCGAGAGAGAGAAAGGAGGAGGAACGGGGGGGGGGGAGAGGGAGGAAGGAGGAGGAGGAGGACAACTGATCTGTTTTCAAACTAATCCCTCCAGAGATTTTTAAATACAGACAACCGCACTCCGCTCACAGCGCTGCAAAACGGGAGACGTTTAAGCGCGCGCGCTTGGAGAGCTTCCCTTCTCGCACCGCTCCGCGCGCGCGCTGGGAATCTGCGGAACAGAGCAGCAGACGCGCCAGAAACCAGGACATCTTTGTTCGCTGCACACACACACACACCCGCGCGCATCGCTCCACTCCCACAAAACACACACGCATTTTCCAATACAGACATAAATTAATCTCGCTTTCTTTGTGCTAGACGGCTCTCGGAAAACTTAATTCCCAGCTTCGTTTTTGAAAGGGGGGAAGAGACTAAAAGTGGATCAACGGCTACGGCAGCAGCGCCTTGTCTCTCCATAGAGGGTTACTGGGTGCTCTAACAGGGAGGGAAAGGGCCTGTTTCTTTATTTTCTCCTTTACTTAAAGCAGATCCAAGTGCATGAATTGCAGTCTGGTTGCCAAATAATAATAATAAAAAACTTTCCCCCTCCCGCCCCCCAACACACACTCTCTCCCTCCCTCCTTCTCTTTCTGTTGCTGCTGCCTTTGCTTTGAATGGGGGTAGCTAGGAAACAGCGAGGAGGCTGAGAAGGCGGAATTTCCAACGTGTAAAATGTTCTTAACGGAGCCATTGAGAGTGTGCAATAAGGCGTGAGGGGGAACTAATCTCTCCATTTAAATGTTTGTGGCAATTTTATCTAAATGAATTTTAATGCTAAACGAGGGATAATTCCCTATTTGTAACCCGTTTACTTTCTCTTTCCTTTGCCTGTAAAAGCCGTCCAACATCATGCGATGAACAATAGCAAAACAAAACAAAAAACATACTCTCAAGGCATATTATTCATTAATGTGTTATAATTGCAGCTGATTGTCTTGGCAGATAATACAGAGAGGGTTTGGGGTGTGTGTACACACAAACATACCCCAAACCCTCTCAGTGTTTTTAATATATATATAGATGTCCCCCTTTAATAGTGAAATGCACAAAAATAAATCACGTCGATGAAAGCAATAAAATCCCCCTTCTCTTGAAAAAGTGGTATATTCGGGTATTTTTCCACTCTTGAAAAGGAGTGGTTTTAAGACTGGTTTTAAGAAAGGATTTAACACTGGCAAAGAGCTTAACAGTTTACGTTTTGGCGATGCATGCATTGTTAATAACGCCTCGTGCTGCAGAAAGAAGAAAACAACAATTTCCTGACCTTACAAAGTTGGAAAGGGGAGCTTCCTCAGACAAGGGGAAGATGAGAAAGGTCATTGGCTGGCAACTCTCCAGAAATCCACCCCCTCTTCTGCCATTGATGCATGTGGCTTGATGGTTATGTACTGGGGTACCACTATCCTATCAGCTGTGAAGCTGTGTATTATGGTATTATAACCCCAAACAGATGGGCAAAATAGAGTACTTAAGAGGAAAGGCTACTATTTAATTGGGTGGGGGGAGTCATTAGCTGACAATGAAAACACACGGCTGTAAACTGCACTTCCTTCTAAAGAGGGCAAAATCAAATGAGAGTGTTTAGGACAATAAAACAAAGCTTTGGCCATGAAGGGAGATTAGTTTGGGGGAGAAGATGCACGGCTTGATCCCAGGCTTAATTCAGTGCCAAGGTTTAAATCCTGGAATAGGTGCAGTGCTGTTGGGCATGTGCAGAGTGCATTCCCTTACCATTAACAGTGGAAACTATGAGCATGGCTTCCAGACCACAGTGGGGCTGCTTCTAGTCACCCTTCAGGCCTGGCATCTCTTATTTGAGGAATCTGGCACTGATAATATCTCCAATCCCACACCAGTAAAAAGGAGAGAAGCAGAATGCTTCAACAGTAGGTAAACACAGCCTACTAAAGCAACAAAACAATTGGCCCCTCTTAAATCAAAATGTGATTGTTATGGGTGGGTTCACGGGCTGACATCTATCTGAATGGCAGGCATCAGGGCTCTCACCACTGAGCTCTTTTGTTTGTGTTAAGTAGTTAGTGCTATCATCTTTTAAAAGTTATTTTTTTAAAATAGTGACTAGGACAAACCTAAAACATTTGTATATTTTTCATGCCCTTAAGAAACATTTACAACAGTCGTGATTTTATTTGGAAGAAAATTATAAGGTTTTCTAACCTAAACATGCTGTTTGGTTCTATTTAACCAGTTGGCTGTCTTGCAGAAAGTACAGCTGTGCTGGAAAATTGGTTAATGACCCAGTCTACAGCCAATCACAGCACAGTTTTTATTTATGAGCATTAGATTTTTTAAAAGTCCACATCCTTTTACTACAAGTAGTTAATGCACACTTATTCAGATTTAGGAAGGTGTTTTTTAAAAAACCAAAAGCAACAACTGTGCTACACCCCTTCAAATGTCACATGTATGTCATTTTAAAAGGTGAAATATTTTAAATTCCACCCAGCCTTATGCGGTCAGTTCTTCCCTTTTTCTTTTTGCCTTGAAATCTTAAGATTTGATAATTCAGTTATCACCCTGAAAATATACAGGGTAAGCTATAAGAAAGTTCACTAGCACAGGGCAATATAAAATAATTTAGTATGGGGGGGAAGTATTAATAAGGTTGTCTGGAACTAAAATTTAATTATTTCAAGAGAGAAATTGACATATTACTATGAAATTGCTAGATTTTTGGAGGGCTGGGGCAGTAAAATAAAATTTTCAAGCAGTTGAGCCAGCGTGACAAAAATAATTTGCTTTTATTTTAGATTCAGATTTCATTACTGCACTCAAACTACTACAACTGGGCTTTGAGTTATTGTACAATCCAAACGGTTTCAATCAGAAACTCTAAGACTCAATGTGCAATGATTATTATTAATAATTAGCTCCTTGGTTTCTTGATAGAAAAAGGCTATCAACAAGCATTTGTTTAACCACAACAAAAGTATAATTAGCTTATCCCACTTAGTAAATCTGTATGCATGCCAACTCATACCAAACTGCTACTTTTACAAAAAGAAAAAAGAAAAGCAATAATACAGTTCATTTTTCCAGTCCTTTTTGCACAAAATTTATTTACAATGTATACATATATGCTCCATGATGGGACTATGGAAAAATGCACATGACTGATGTTTTGCCCAAAAAATAAAGTCAACATAGTAAAATAACTCTTCAGTTCATGTTCTGAGCGGCATAAAACAGGAAGTGATGTAGGTGGTTGTTGTTGTTGCTGCATGGGGACAGTGATGCTCTGATGTGACAATTAGGTTCAAATACACTTTCTCTTGGTTTCCATGCCTCCTCCAACCAGTCTCCTTAAGACACTGCCTGCAACAGCTGATTAATCATTTTCGAGGACTGCAGTTTTTCCCATCCTTCCCGATTTACATCTGTTCAGGCCAATTCAAATATGGTGAGTAAATGAATTAGACATGCAAATTCACGCCCCAGGCTAGAAAAAAAGGGGGAGGGAGGGAGGGAGGGAGGAAGACAGAGAGAGAGAGAGAGAGAGAGAGAGAGAGAGAGACAGAGAAATACAGAGTGCATGGCTGAAATCCTAGAAGAAATGTTCTTCTGCCTGACAAAGATATTTTAATGCTCTAAAAATCCTGCAAATATATCTTTTTTGCCATTTGCAGGGTAATTGTAAGGCCTTTTTATGTAAGGAGGCTTCTGGAGGAAGTGAAGAGTTATGGAAAGAACACACATAGTGTGGAAAAAAATTCACATTTGTTTTTCTTAAAAAATCTATAAGAAACAACGTAATATGGATAACAGAATAATAGCATTTTACAATATTCCACTCTGTTGCCTTATATAGTTATTTTGCATGTCCCCAGAAGTTGACTTCAGTTGGCGTGTCTTGCCTGCTTTTCAGGGTCCCTATAAAGACAAATATAGGATTGTTCCTTGGTCCAGACTAGATGCCAAGAATGAAACTCCGCTAAGTCATTGACGAACGACAGTATTTCAAATTTGCCATTATTGAAGATAAAGTATATTCCCTTAAGCTACTGAGCATGAATGTCCATCACTTGTCCACTCATTGCTGGGTCTCCTGTATTGAGCATTGTGGGGCTAGTTGCTGGCATCTGCATTCCAGGGTGGGGTGGTCCTCCATGCATCATCATTGCTGGGTGGTGTGGGTGTCCAGGAATGTAGGTATGCATGGGGGGCCCATGACGCAGCTGAGCTGGGTGTGGGGGCATCTGGGGTGGTGTATAGCTTGGCTGTCCCATATTCATGCCCATTGGACCACCCCTAGACACATAATCCCCTGGCATACTTTGCAGTCCTGTGGAGGAAGAGAGACACTTGTAAATATCAAATCCCGTTTATCTAAAGGCAATAACACTGCCTTCTCAAGTCAAGGCTTCGTTCGAGGAGTAATATTACGGCACATGAAGGCCCTGGGAATAGGAAGACAAACATTTGGTACGCAATAACAGAAACATTTGTTTGCAGATGGGAACAATGAACATGTTTGTGAGTTTACTTATTTTTTTCTGGAAACATTTGTAAGTCAGAGGTTTAAAGTGTACAAAATACTTATTTAGTTTAATGTATGTGTAACTCGGCATAAGAAACTATGTAGACATGAGATGATACGTATATTTCTCCCCAAGAACAGCACTGCAAGAACTTGAATACTAGTGGCTTCATTGTACTTAAAATGGCTTGTCTGGTTCTTGTATATGGACTAGAGAGAATGCTTGACATCAATTGCCTTCTGTGTCCTTAGTTGAGTCCCTTAGAGTAATCTTCTCTCCCCTGCTTTTCAGAAATGTGTTCTCTTGTGCATGAGGTGTGATAAAACTGTGTACATTGC